GCAGAACAAGAAAAGGAAGTTTTGGAGTCCAAAATGGGTGAAAGTGTCCAAACAATGGATCAGGAGATTAATCTTCTTCGAAATGAACTTGAGAAAGTTAATGATGATGCTTTGGCTCAGGAAAATAAATCTCTTAAACGAGATTTGGTGAGAGCCACCGTAAACCNCCTGCGTGGATGGGACTAACATGCCGAGTAGCACCTGACTGGTTCCAGCCTGGAGCCCGCTGAGGCTAGTGGTGGGGATGCGAGAGGCATCTCCCTCCGAGCTGTCAAGGCGACATTATCCACTTGGCGGACCTATACCGACTCTCTCAAGAACAAACCCTGCCTGCAGTCTCTCTGTGTGAAGACATCAAAAGGTAGAAGGAGATGTTTGCTGAGATAAACGGAAGTCTAGCTCCGGAGGTGTCGCAGTCTGACAGTCTGATGTGCTGGTCTGGTATGCACTTATGAAAAACAAGTGCTAAAGTTACTAATTCTCTTTTCCTCCTATTTCTTAAAGCTAAATCTTTATCTTTATTCTTATTCACTTAAACTTAGTCAAGTAGTGTGCCAGTGAATTACAACACCTGAAATTTACTGTTTTTGTCAACTCTGAGTGGGATTTTTATGCCGAAAATATATAACTTGTGTTTACTTATTCATATAATATTTTTATTAAATGTTTTGTGTTTAATCTGTTCATATATCTAAAATAAATTATTTTATTTTGAGAAATCTGACCAGGTCATAAGTTTTCATTTTTCACATTCATGATCAGAGGTATTTCATTATTCCCTGATTTCATTTTTGCAAGATCTTGAGGGATTACCTTTGTGAAGATTAGGCTGGTCCTAAGTTTCATTAAGTAATTCGCTACACATGTGAATAACCTGTTTGTCCACCATGTGGAGGCAGTGCTTATAAGGCTGAGTTCACCTGAAACTCATCAGACTGAACAAGTCTCTTGGATGAGAGACCAAACGTTTCACTAAAGAAGAACCCATCCAGAGGACCTACTTATTTTTTCTTTTTGATTTTTTTCTACCGGGATTACTGAGATGCATCAGGACATTGGGTCAACTCAAGTCCACTACAAAACTTCTCCCCCAGGCTTTTCACAATAAAAGCACACTAAAGTCTCCATGCGTCTCCACGTCTCCTTATTAAAGTTGTGTGTTAAATCTAACTGTGCACATCATTGAAGAGATGTTTACTACATTCAGTGATGGCCAAAACGGTATGTTTTTTAACATCAGTCAATATAAGCAGCGGAATCGCCACCCGCTGCTGCAACAAACTGCTCAACAATAACATCAGCATGCTAACGCACATAACGGTGTGGCGTGGAAAGTGTCCCCCGGGAAACAGTTCACTGGTGGCCGCGACAAAACGTTCCGCACGTGTTCAGCTATTTAAACCGACATGTTGGTATTCAGAAAATTCTTATCGTAACAAAAATAAAAAACGGTATTCGGTACGAACCGGTATACCGCCCAGCACTAACTAGCCTCATATGTTTTCTCAAATAATATTATAACTCTTTAATGATACTGGACAATACTAAATTTCTCTCTTTCTCCCTAAAAAAATCTTTCACGTTTGATGTGTAAACATGATGCGTTCAGATATCCTGAAAATAATCTAGTTGATGTCGTGGTTCAAGTTAAAATCAGGCTTCTCTTAACACTTAAATAAGTGCTGCATCCTAATTTCTGTACTACAATCCGTAAGGCTGTAGCATAGTAAAATAACAAAAATAAAGGCAAACATATCAATAAAATGTTTCTTAAGTTCAAAAAAACAATAATAAAACATAGTTTTCAGTGTGTTAAAGCAGAAAATGAACACCATTAAGGTCCTACCCCTTGGTGACTGATGTTTCCAAATGATGTTGGCCTCTGGTCGACCGACAGCCAGACAGAAAAGATTGACACTGCTTCCCTCGTTCACTGTGATGTCCTTCGAAATATTAGTGATCCTGGCAGGTACTATGGAAAGAAAAACAAATTAGAATTCATTTTGTCACTTCCACACCAGATTTAATGTTTTTTTTTTAATTTGCTGGCCTTTTTTCCAGTAACATTTTTTATTTTTTTTTTACAATAATATTTTATTAAATGAAAAAGAAATGCTGTAATTGTTAGTTTGAAAAGACAGAGATGAATTCAGAATGCAAACCAACAAGAGAAACGTGAGCAAAACTATATTTAAAGAAATTTAAAAAAAGCAAACAAACAAACATAAACTCAAGGCCTAAAGTAGAACTGGACAGGTCAAGAAGCTCAATGTCAGACTGCAGGTAAGATGAACACAGGGAGACAAAATGGACTGGAGCTGATGAAAATACCGGAGACAGGTAAGTTACTGGCAAGATATCTTGGTTAAATTACTTACTCATTACCTATCAGTAACTATATTTACAACTTATTAACTTTAGGAGTCAAAATGGCCATCACAGCCAATCGATCTTAGTATAAACAAAAATAGTTGTAGCCTACCTGAGTGTTATCAATATTATGTTTTAATTTGTTGGTGTGGTAGCTAATTAGCGTTCACATCACATATTTCAAGAATGGACAGATCAAAATACTATAATATGGCATTAAATGGCACATAAGGATTTTTACAATGTTCGACCAAAACAACCAACAGAATCCTAATTTCTCACCAGTCTTTGTTTAAAACTCTGGCATGATATGTATAATATGAATTATTTCAAGAAATGATAGGCATTTTATTTAACACATCAATCAAAATCCTACTCATAATATCACAGGTGCAGTTGCACAGAAAGGCTGCGTGTGTCATGTTTCACTCACCAAAGTTTGCAATTAAATACGTGAACTCAGACCCACAGCAAGAATGTGTGAACAACCAAGAAGCCATTTTTACTTACAATATGAAAAAAAGAAACTTACTTGAATATGTGCCGTTTGTTTTTCTAAACTCTATGGTCTTTGAACACGTTTTCTCATGAGTTTGACATTTTAACGTTAGAACACAATTTATGAAACTGAACCACATTCACGTTCACACAACTCACCCTAAAAATGATTCAAACCACCTTAATCCAATGTAAAATGTAAGGTTTTCTCTGTGTGTCACACACAGATGTAAAACAACACAAACAGGACTCCAGTCAACCACCAGGGGCCTCGTGTACAAAGACTTGTGTGGATTTCTTTCTGAAACGTGGCGTGCGGTCAAATCCAGAAAATTGCGTATGCACAAAAAAATCCAGATGTATCAAACTGTGCGTACGCCGGAATCCACGCACATTTCTTTTGTACGTCACAATTAACATGGAACTGAGCGCAGGTGAGACACCTCCCCCGACACGCCTTCATTAACATATATTAAACAGATGCTAATTACTTCCTGCATGTGTGATGGACACGTTTGTGTGATCTCTGCGTGATCAGAAATGATTTCTAGAGTCAGGAAAATAATGAATTAAATATAATGTGAGGGAGGAAAAAAATCCTAAGTAAGAATAGGAGTAAATATGTTTGTCACGCAAAGAACGAGTGATTGTGTGTCGGTGTGTGTGTGTGTGTGTGTGTGTGTGTGTGTGTACGCGCGGGAATCTGCTGTGTTGTGCAACCGGTGCACCCATCTATTCTGAGATTGGAAATATTAACTTTGCGCAGGAGATTATTAGTTACTGTAAACACAGAGGAACACAGATGTTTGGTAGAACATAGATCTTTGTTTATTTCATAGCTGATATTAAAAAACGAGTCTCTGCGCCTCAGTGGAGTTTTCATGGCGTGACGTGATGTTCGAGACTTAGAATCATATGGATGAGATCGTTCCATTGGCCATGACTCAGCTTTGGGTGGACTGATACAGTCCCTATCAGTCTGCCAGCTCCCTCTGGAAAGCTCCTGTGGAACCCCAGTTCAATCCCTGCTGCTGCGTGTGCACGCGTGGCACAGGGCTCCTCGATGTGTCGCGCTCCCAAAGYGCAGCATTGCCAAACTGAAAAAAGATTTTTCCTCAAAATTGCTGATGAGCCACTCGTCATCGTGGATCAGAAATTTTTTTATGTTTATAAATAAATGTTCTGTGTGTTACACTCTTTATTATATCCTCCAATAAGGCTGAACCTGTTCCTGGTAAATGTATTTTTGGCACAACTTTGCGTGTCCTATATCTAACTGTGTCTATGTGGATGTAATAATTGCTAATCATATGTGTCTGGTGTGAACAGTAATCATTTTCACATCATTAACAGTTTCTCAGAATCACCTCTAACCCCRGATTTATACTGCATGCATCTCCGCTGCGCAGGTCGCAGCTGTGTGTTTCAAGTCCAGTGTACACCACCTCCGCTCCGGTCYGGCAGRGATCGCACGATAAATTCAGTGATAAGTGTGGAAGTCACTGCAAAAAATAATTAATTCTGTGAAAGACGAACTCCAAACACAGCTGAAAACAACGATATAAAGGCTTTTGGTATCTATGTTGAAACTGTCTCGCTGTCGTCTTTCTGAAACTTCTGATTTCAAAATAAAATCCACGTGTATCGTGTGTGTACACATATGCTTCATGCTACATGTTCCCATCGGCTTCCCAAACAGAACGATACATTCTGACAGCATTTGTGTAGAAATATATCCGTATATTTATTAATATAGCCGCAATTTCAACATTATTCTGACAAATTATTCCCCCGAATAGTGTCTTATTTTGAAAATACGGGTGTTGTGCTCGTGTCTTTTCCTGTTGGTGCGACGTAATCTTTAAAAATTGACTCCGGAGCTGCTCCGTCGTCCGGCAAAAATAGGATCTGTTCTAATTATGACGGTTCGCCGTCCGCTCACCGCTGCCCTGCGCTGCCATGCGCAGCCAGTGTAAACACTCTCATTGATTATAATGGCTGAGTATTTACTGCGRAGGTCGGACCGGAGCGGAGTGGAGACGGAATGCAAGTAATGTAAATTAGGGGTAAGTGTCACCAATGGAACCAAAACCACAGAAACATGCGTACGCCAACCCTGGAGTTGGCGTGGGGCTGCACACATTTCCACATTCATTTCTGTTTTGATACATCCGGGGTTTTGCGTGGAAAATGGCKTACACAAACTTTTTGTTCATATGCACCGTTGATACAAGGCCCCAGGTGAAAATGAAAACACCAAACCCAGAACCAAACCAGTCAGCATTCCATATGTTGTGGGAGTTTCAGAGAAACTGAGACATTTTTTCTCTAAACATGAGGTCCCAATGGTTTTCAAACCCCACAGCACATTACTGCAAAGCCTGGTTCAACCCAAAGATCTGGTCCTCTGGCACAAACAGAGAAAGGTTGTGTATGCTGTTAAGTGCAAGGAGGACTGTGATTAGTTATATATCTGGGAAACAAAGCAGCTACTGTTCAAAAGAATGAGCCAGCACAGAAGAGCAACATAATCAGGTCAGGACTCTGCAGTTTGCACTCATCTACAGGCCAGCGGTCACTCTTTCAGGGATGAAGATGTTCTCATCCTTGACCGAGAGGAACATTGGGCCTCATGCAAGAACCGTTCGTACGCACAGATTTGTTCTTAAGTTGTGCGTACGAGTGATTTAGGAGAATGTGTGGCATTCACCAATGTTTTCGTATTCTAAGATTTTTT